TTGATGGCGGGATTCAAAATCGAGAGCTACGGGAAAAAAAAAAAAAGGAAAAAAAAAAAAAAAAAAAAAAAAAAAAAAAAAAACACAGCGAATCAGAGAAGAGTTAGGGTTTTCTTCCTGAGTTCCAGAATTTCCCCCCGCAACGTCATCGCAGTCAACTTTTAATATTGCTTCTTGTTTTCTACGAATACTCTTTTTTTTAAAGAACAAATAACATAAATAAACGATAAATAAATTATACATAAATATGTTTTTTTTTTTAACAGAGTTGTTTGCGAAATGGTTAGATCCCCCCCCCCATCTCAGTTACCATTAGAAGTCATGGCAATTTTTAAATTTTAAATTTTAAATTTTCCTTCTTTTTTTTTTTCCTTCCGATATCGGTTGAACAAACCGCTCGAGATTTAAATTAAAAAAATAAAAAAGTAATAATAAAAAATAAAAACTCACCGCTCGCCATCGCTGGAATTATTATTCCTCCTCCTAATTAATTATCTTCTTCTTCTTCTTCTTCCTCCACTTCCCGCCACCACCCGCTCCGCACTGATGTGTCCACTGCCGCACACTGCCGCACACACACGTGGAGATCTGTCGCACGGCGGCTATGACGTCATATCTCACGCGATACGTCAACAGCCTCCGCTAAATCAGCCTGCCACCGCGAGACACGTGTCGGTCGCCGGTACAGGGTTTGTGAGGTCAGTCACAGCACCTACGTACGACCGACCAATCGATCTCGCATAGGTGCTGTGTTTCGAGAATTATGGGCATCGCCAAAGCACTCTCGAAATGTGGGAAACGGGAATGAACTTTCCTGCTAGAACCTGGCCAGATGCACCCGCCACATTTTTGTCTTTTTCACATTTCGAGAGTGCTGTGGCGAGGCCCTATGTTCTTGGGATGTGATTGCATTTGGACTCAAACTTGGGCGTCTTTTTTCTTTTTTTTTTTCTCTCTCAATTGCACCTCACACTACCTTGCTTCGACCGTTCTTGGGGTGTGCCAACTGCTGGGCTACAGGTAGGGCCGATTTTTTCTATTTTATTTTTTTCACATTTATGGTTTTACAGGTAGGCCCGAATTGGTGGCGTGTTGACTGCTGGCGGGCGGAATGACCAGGCGAAACATTCCCGAAAAGGAAAAACGAACCTACGAAACACAAGAGAAAGCCAGAAGGCAGGTGAACGGAGGACAAGCAGAAATGAGGCCCTCGCTCCACTACTCACCACATGCACAAAAAAAGATTAAAAAAGATGGCGGTGTATCTTCCCATGTTCTAGCTGAAGATTCGTTCTCGTTTTGCCCATGCTCACCCTACCACCCAAGGGCCTTCGCCACACCACTCTTCTTTCCAGAGTATTTTCAAGAGCCTTGCGGGAAAAAAAAAAGAAAAGAAAAGAAAAGAGAAAAAAAAGAGTCTAGTGGAAAAATTATTTCAAGAGGTGTCAGAAGCCGGTTTCAAGAGGTCCTCTTGACATGCCCTATTTATTCCCCTGCCTGCAAAACTCAAGGTAAGAAGGGGTACCAACTTCAACTTCCATCATACTAGTCATAGTACGTGAGCGCATAATCAGAACGTCTACCTCTCGCGCCACCCTTCTTGCACTAGCCAAAACCAATTCACACAATCAACTCTCACTCGCTCTCTCTATCCACTATCATCAATCGATTAGCCATAAAAAAAAACAAAGAATCTTCTCATTTTGCCTAGTTCTCACATTCACATACCCAGATGTCGTTCCACCAGGGACAACGGTAGGCAACCGTTATCCCTGGCAACGGCGCCACCTGTCGAGCGCATCGGTCCCTCACAATGCAGGACCCTCCCGGCCGTGTCACGCAGGAGTTGATCTACTCGCGATACACAAGGAGCTTTCGCAAGTCGCTCCAGCCGAGTGCGCCAGCCATACCTCTCGCGAGCCCCTACAACAGCATAGGGTCAACGCAAGGTACAACTTACCTCTGCGGGAGCTGTCACCTCCCTTCAGTGGGCGTATCCCCTCCGAGCTACCAGTCCACAATTTGAAAGCGAATCAGTTGCAATTGCAGAGGTAGACCAGCCGAGGGCATTGCTCGTTCGTTGTAGCATAAGGGGTACGTGCGGTCCCACGCCTCTATCGGACCCGCACACGAACTGACGCACAAGGGGCCTGAAGTCTCAAGCGCGACTCATCGTCGGTCGACTAGGATGCATCCCACTCACCATGTGTTACACCACACTTAAACATAAAAATAAAATACACACACACACACGAAACGACACAATACAAACAACACAACAACACTCCTAGTCCCTTTTGTAGTCCTCTCATAACCTTAAGACGCGGAAATCGGATAGGCGCCGCGCACGAGACTAAGTATAAAACTGTACGAAACGCAGGGCCTTCTCAAATCGACTAGCAATGCAAGCATACGCAAGCAGTCCCAATGATGGCGTAATATGTAGTACCCTTAATCAGACAGTCCTCCATAATCTCGAGGGTCGTGTTTGACAATCAAGTGTTGGATGACACACGCCTTGAGGGTTTAAACCACCGGTCCCCACGCCACCTAGAAACTGTAAAATGACCGGTAGGCCACGATCGCATTTTTTTGTCGCGCGACCGATTTCTTGCGGCCTACCGGGTCCCACCCTGATTTGTCGTTTCAGATATGGGACCCGGTAGGCCGCGTGATGAGGAAACTCATCGTCGCGGCACGATGTCTGTGTTCATGCATCAAGACATGTAAGTGACCCGCCCGACAGCAAAAAAAAAAAAAAAAAAATACTAACAAAAACCTTAAAAGAAAAACGTCAATCCACTTCGTTTTGTAATTTTTTTTTATTTGTTTTCCAATTGTTTTCACTTTTTTTT